ATGCATTAACAACTTAACTAAAAGGTTGGCAGTTCTAACAGCTGTTCCACGGACGAAAGTCCTGGCAATGTGCTCCTATAAATATTGTTGTTAAAGTGCCGCCATGTTGGTTCCAACTCTCAGTAACCCCATGTGACAGAGTAGAGCTTCCCCATAGGACTTCCTAACTTGTAATCTTTATGAATACATATCGGGGACTCTTGTCGAAATGCAGTGTCTGACCCAGTAGACCTGGGGTGGAAATGTAACTTCTCAGCAGGGTTTGCTGCAAGCACTGGACTGCTGGAGCTGGACCCAGGAGATGCAAGAACTGTGGGGTGTGCGGTGCACAGGGGATGGAATGTGACTTGTGCAGGTGGCATGTTCTATCGATGAAATTCTAATTTTTTTTACACTATGCTTCTTTAAGAGAGAAAACATCGTACATAGCCAAAAAGTCATTACCACACAAACAGCAACAGTAATAAGAATTCATTCATATTTTGTAAGATTCAGTCCACATTTAAAATTCTGCAGTTGTCCTTCTGCCAGTATTCTGTCTGAACCAAGATCCAACCCAGACACACCTTGTTAAGTCCTGTGAGTGTTCCGCAATATTCGCCAGTGTAAATATTGACTACGGCGTAACTGCTGACAAGGCTTCCCATTCCTGGCCCCACCCCAATCACAGTGGGTGGGGTGGGGGGCAGATGACCTTTCCGTTGTTGGCTGCTAGTCCGTCTCTCCCCTCTGATGGTCCTTCACTTGCGCCTCTCTCCCTGTCATCTTGCTGAGTCTAAAGCCTTTATTCAATTCAAATCCAAAATTTTTGTCCACGTTGAAATCACAGATTGCTAAGGTTTCATTAAGTTTGGGCATTCGGAGGACAAATATAAGTGGTTGTTTGTTGTGTATCAAGCAGACAGTTGTTTCTATGTGAGTTTGTTTTGTTTGTATCTGTACAGTCTTTTTGAAGAAGGGCGTGGGAAGGGTTCAGCATCCTTGCCCAAGCCTGGAGCCCAGTTCTGGGGTGAGGGGTGGCCAGCCCCAGGCAGCTTCCACCCCAGTGATTGTAAAGGGGTCAGGAGAGGGGAGCCCTGTGGTCAGACACCCTAGCCTGCTTTGTCCTCCCAGGATGGACTGTCCTGGTCCTCGTCATCTTTGCCTGTGAGACCCGTTCCACAGGCTCCGAATGAAATGAACAGCTTCCCCAACGTGAAACGAAGCATAAGGAATGCCTTGAGGGTAAACGTGGGCCTGGACACAAAGAGCTACTGGCTGTTTTGCTGCTAGAAACCCATGTACCTGGTTGTTTCTGTCAAGTGCCATCGAGTTGATTCCAACTCATAACGACTCCGTATACAGTCTCCCAGAAGCGGCTGGTAGAACATTTCAAAAACAGAGCAAAGTTAAGACAAGACTTACTGGTGGTTTAAGAGAGAAACCTCTGTTTACAATTTGATGGATCCCCTTCTTGTCCTTTCTCCTAACTTAAAGAAAATAGCAGGGCATACCATGTGTATACTTTGGTTCCATCTCTCCACTTGCTATTGTTTTATGGACCTGTCTTTAAAGCATAACTTTTTGTTACAATGAAATAGCCTTAAAATATAGACAAACCCACACCAGCCCAGCTGCCATCAAGGTCATTCTAACCCATGGAGACCCTTGTGTGTCAGAGCAGAACTTCACTCCCTGGGGTTTTTAATCACTGTAATCTACCTGAAGCACATCACCAGGCCTCTCTTCTGAGACACCTCTGGGTGGATTCAAGCTACCAACCTTTGGGTTAGGAGTAGCAAAGCGCTTACCTGTTGAATTTACTCAGGGACTCCTAAGAGATGAACATAGCAAAATGCATTTAGCCGTTATTTACTATCGGACATCCAGATTTCTTTCTGCTGGTTTGACTGAAAACACCTGCGATGAACA